TCTGCAGAGAGAGAGAGAGAGAGAGAGAGAGAGAGAGAGAGAGAGAGAGAGAGAGAGAAAGCGAGATTGTGTCGTTTTGTTGCCGCGCGGGCGTGGATTCGTCTCTCTCAGCGAGATATGTCGTTAAAGCCAACGCGGCGGATGTTATCTCCGCATGCAAGTCCACGAGCACGAGCAAGTGACTAAGCCCGTTAACGTTTTCCGTTGACTGATCTATTCTTGCGAAAAATAAAGGGAAGCGAAGAAACCGGAGTTTTCGAATTTGCGTCGTTCCTACGTCGCGCCCGCGCGCGCGCGCACGCGGCGCGTAGATTCGTCATCGAAATACGTCGTTAGAATCAATGGTGGTATCCCGGTGTGTGTGTGTGTGTGTGTGCGTGGGGTAGAGGTACGGCGATCTTACGCGATGCCGCGCAATAGCATCGCAGAACAGAGCACACCATGCCTCCTTCCCGAGTCGATTGATTCTCCTCCGCAGCGAGAGCTGCGAGAGGCAGAACGACGCAGAAGAGAGAACTCGCTCCGCTCCGGTCTATAACCCTCGCGCTCGTGCGACACCGCGTCGTCGCCGCTACCTGCAACCGTGAATCCGCATTCTCGCTTACAAAAGCGCGTCGCGTGCCGCACGTGTGCAACAGCAATGCGATCTTCTAATTGCCGCACTATGCGCAACATTTTATATATATATACATATATACATGGACACGGTGTGCGTGCGTGTGTGTACATACGTATTACGACTATAACTGCGGTACACGATGTTGCGGCGTACACGAAGTAACGTGGCGCGGTAAACGATCGAGGGCTCGTTCGGGCGATGCCGACGCGAAACCCTCCGCGGTGCGCGAAGGCGTTGCACGAGTGAAGTATAAAGTACCTCACCACGTCGGACACTTTCGTTTGGACGCGCGCTTTTGCGGAAGGGAGCACAAGGGCGTTACGCCTACGCGTCACCGTTTGCGAAACGGAAAAATAGGCGACGCGCTGCGCGCAACAGTCGCACACAGCTAGCTAAACGTAACGACGCGTCGTCGTCGTCATCCCTGGGAATGGAACTCGTCTACGGCACGAAATTAACACTCGTCGAGCGACGTGCGCCGACTTCAGTCGCCACTGGGATGCCGTTATACTTGCTCGCCTCCTCGCCGACACACGTATACCTGTCACAATCGGTATCGCCGGCGCGATAAATCGCGGGGACATGTCACGCACGTCACGTCCCGTCGCGTCGCTGTCTCGAAGGGCCTCTTCTACCGTCTGGCTCACGAAAATTTTCTGTTCGTTTACGACCAACTCGCGTACGGCTTCCTCATACGGATCGATCTTTATCGCGCAAAAGTCGTGTTTGTAAACACGTCGCGAACACGTCCTCTCTCACGTTTTCCGCGTCTCGAAGGGAGGACAGGGACGCGCCGAGACGCGGCTTCGCAAACCGACTGCGTCGCACATTTCGTAAAAGCGTCCTCGCACGACACGCAAACTCAAACACGTACACGTACACGCCGCACACAAGCACACACGCACACCTTCGGTCGATCCGTCTTCTTGCCGGACAACACTCATACACCATCTTCGAATGGTGGTCCTAGGAATGTGACCGTTACAGGGGAAGAAAGCGTGCCTGCGGAGCAAAGGAGATGCGGAGACAAAGGCGAGGGAAGGGGGGGATGGTGGGAAAGGGAGGTCGAAGAGGGCGGATCTCTCACACGCGAGAGAGACGCTTTGCGGTTCTCCTTATCCTCACCGCACATAATTTAGCCGATAAATGCGACCGATAAATAAATACGTTCGATTCCCAGCTTATGTTGACATTGACATAATTCTCAATTTACGACGCATCAGCACGGTCGACGAGCGCGGCGGGTGAAATCGAAGGTAAACAAAACCGAAGTCTTGTCTTTCATTCATTCAGTCAGTCAATCAGTCAGTCAGTCAAACGAACAAAGAGAACGGGCGAGCGAGCGAGCGAGCGAGCGAAAGTGCAATTAGCGGGTAACACCAACCTTTAGATTCCCCGCGACGCATTTACAGCGGGGCGAGAGCGTAGGCGTTGGATTTTCACTTGGCGCTGACACGCAAACTTGCACCACCGTATCGGGCGCGCAAAACACACTAACGGATTAGACGAGACGACGACGCGTCCGTTTGTGCGTCGAATTATAGGGAGGAGAGAAGAGAACGCGGTGCGGAGCTGCCCGGCGCGCAGCGGAGTGGACGAAGCGTCCCACGTGAAACGGACTCGCGTCACTCTCTCGCGCTCCGTCCGTCGATCGGTCTTCTCGCCCAATCGCGCGAGCACTCTGCGCCGGCGGCGAGCGATCAAAACAGAGGAAGAAGGAGGGCGCGCCGCGCCGCGCTGCTCCGCGTCGCGTCGCGTCGCGGAGGCATCAGCAGGGAAGGGGGGAGGGGTTGGTGGGGAGCTCGAAGCGGTCGCAGGCATTGAGCGGGCGCGACAGAGCGCGAGCGTGCGAGCGAGCGAGAGGATAAGAGCGGGACGGCGGCAGGAAGAAAGAGTAAGGGGGAGAGAGAGAGAGAGAGAGAGAGAGAGACAGCGAGCAAGCGAGAGAACGATGTTCGTGTCTTGTATTGCGTAGTAAGCGCTTGAATGGATTACGTCACGCGGCCGAAGGCAGCCAGAGGGTAGAAACGCGCAGCGGACGCGTCCCGCCCGACGGCGGCGGCGGCGGCGGCGGCGGCAGCGGCGGGCGATGGCCGCGCACGCGACACGCACAACAATAGACAATGCGGAACAACGAACGAACGACCGACAACGATGACGGACGACGACCAGAGCGACTGGGGAGACGGGAGGAGACCGGGAGAAGAGAGGCGAGGCGAGACGCGCGCGTGTCGAGTTGAGTTGAGTTGAGCTGACAAGCCGAGCTGAGACGTAGACGAGACGCGACGCGACGTGGCGTGCGTAAATCCCGCACAAGGGTCGACGAGTCGCGCGCTGCTCCTTTCTCCATCGTTCCCATCTCGAATATACGGCGCGTCGCGCGGATCGATCGCCGCTCGTACGTTATACGTGCACATAAAGTGTGCCGGTTCGCCCCGCTGTATCCTCGCGGTGCGGCCGACACGGACGCACATGCCTCCCCGTCGGCTCTCTCCTTGCCCACGTGCGTTCACACGCGTCTCGGGCGCGGCGTCCCCGCGTTCTCTTCCTCCTCCTCCTCCTCTCGTTCTTCTTCCTGTCTCTCATCCCTCCCATCGGAACGCGCTGTGTATCTACATAAATACTTACCAACGTATAAACATGTATACGTTTGCACGTGTGTGCGCGTAAGTATGTAAACATATGCATGTAAATTTGTCTTGCTGCTTCTCTCTCTCTCTCTCTCTCTCTCGGTGCTTTCCCGGGGTCTTCGCCCGTCGCCGTCGCATCGTCTAATCACGGGCTACTTAATTCAGCTACCGCTTCAAACTCGCTTGAACTTGAGCTCATTCGCTCGCTTCTGTTTCCGCGCGTAGACGCGAGGAGTGACGCGACCGCGGAGCGGAAGGCTATCACGCGCGCGCGCGCGCGCGCGCGTGCTGAAGACGAGCGGCAAGCGCGCGTGGGCAAGCGTGCCCTTGTTTTATTTATTTTTTTTTTCGCTTACACGCTCACGCGCGGGGATCGCTCACCTCGTCGTGCGTGTCCGTCGCGGCGTGCGCACGATTCACGTGCGCGCCGTTCGTCACGCAGTAGCTCGCGGTGGCGGTGGCGATGGCGGTGGCGGCGACGGAGGCTGCGAACGGCATATCTCACTCGTCTCCGCTTCTTCCGAGAACGCAATATACACACGCGCGAAACGTACGCGACACCGGTACCGCGCACGGCACAGAGGCAGCACGCACATACAACACGACGCACGTACACACGCGCGCGCGCGCGCGCACTAAACACTGACGCAGGGCGGACAGGCTGGCACGCACGCACGACGACGCGACGACGCGCACACTATCTCGGCGCGGACCGACTCTCGTTTGTACGCGAGTAAACTCTCTCGCCCTCGAACGCGGGCGGGCGTGCGGGCGGGCGGGCGGACGCGCGCGTGCGCGGCTCGCTTCTACCGAGTAGGCGGCGCGACAACGTATATGTACCCCGACCAGCGAGTCAGCTGCTACTGATCGGACCGCAACGATTGTGTGGGCACCGACGCGCGCGGCACCGGAACGTGGCCGCGAACGCAACGGCACACTGTGAGGGCCGTCCTATGGCACCGCGGGGAGGAGCGTCGACGCGAGCGTCGCCGCGCGGTCGCCACCATGAATCACCTTCGGCGTTTTTCTTAACAATCGTCGATTCGGCGGACACCTCGCGATCCACGGCGAGGCGAGATTGAAGGGTGTGCGGTAAGCGTTTCCCTGCCTGTTACGTCGGATCGATGCGAAAGATTCGTCGTACCCGTCAGATTAAATCAAAAACAAAACTTTCGATGGTCGAAACGAAATTACTCCATCAGCGTGCTCTTTTTTTTTATCCAGACAGAAATTTTCCGATCCTCTTCTGTATGAATTTCAATTTTTCAACTGTTTGTCTAATATAAATCTCGATGAAAAAGAAACGACAAAATCTTTTGCACCAATATTCTCATATGTACATTTGAAAATATACATTGTCCGTTTTAAAGAAGAAATTATTAGTCTTCTTTATGAGGATAATAATAGACTCTTTGTGTTTCTGGAGAAACGTGAGAATCTACAACGTATGTGAAAATACAAGAGGCTCCGCGAATTAATGTCGTGTGTATGAATTTAACTGCAAAGTATATATAACAACTGAAAGTGTTTGCTCGCACTCAAATTTTCAACAAGTTTCTCCCGCTATGTTGAATGTATAAAGAAAATTAATTATTACGACTAAATAATTAAATTGCTTAAAAGTTAAAGTAAATTCTAGTCGGGAGGAAAATATATATCCATTTAATTCCGACTGGTAATTATTTTCTGATTATGCACTACTATTCCTCCTTATCGAGGAGCGACGGTGCTTGAATCTTCGATTCGCGATCTAAATGGTTTATCGCGCCGTCAGATAGCGATTATTTTCGCTGCGCCACCGTGCCGCGTGTAAAATCGATAAAGCCGATCGGCATACCTGGCACCGCGATGTGACATTCCGCCGCGATAGCCTGGATATCTCTCTCCCGTATTTTTAGATAAAAAATATATTCAAGCAGACGTAAATAAATTGGCGTCGTTGTGCGCCGGTAGCGGAACATCTGGCCTGCCTTCTCTCCGATCGCTTCCGCCCCGATCCGTCTGGCTCCCTTTTCCCTCACCCTTCGCGTCGTTTTTTTCAACGCGACAGCAGTTCCTTCCTCCTTCATCGACGTATCACAAAATTCGCGCACGTTCTAGACGCGCGATCGCCTGCAGCGTGGACACCTTTGCACGCGGATCGTGTAAGTCGCGGCTTGTCGCACACTGCAGCACGAACACGCGTGTGCAAGCCCTGCAAAATCTCTATGTTTGTATGTACACCAACATTACTACTTAACTACTTCGGAACTCTCCTTGTCTATATAGACGCGTTCGTTGACCTTTGACATCCTCGTGTATATCCCGTCGGAGCTTCCACACATTTGTTATTATGCATATTGAATTTTGTTAGGAAACGCCGTCCTCGCCAACTTTTTCGCCGTATTGAAAATGCTGAATAATTTTGTCGAGGAGATTTACGAGTGTTCGGACATAAATATGAGGATATCTTCCTGTTGTACAAAATTTATTATTTACATGGCATCCCACTAAAAAATTATTTTAACAACTTGACCGTTATAGAATTTATCGTGTAATAATTGTTGATTTACTTCATTAAAATTGATTTTAGTAGTAAACTTTTTAGTAAGAGATGTTAATTGTCGCCAAATTGACACTTTAATTAAGACGAACGGCTCGTGAAGTTTAATTTGTTGTTTATGGAATAAAATATGGATAAAAATAAATAAAATCATAAAAATGGGCATAGTACTCACTATTCACTCTCACTATATAACATCTTCCGGAAAGTAGATTCCTATTGTATCAGCGGTTAATGAATTTCTCTCGTTTCCTCTTTCTCAATGAAAACACTATACATATGTATATTGTACACATAAAAGTATCTCTTATTTCGTACACATAAATTTTTCAGTTTATCATGTCGTGACATATTACAAATTAAATTTATCATGAATCGTAATAATTACATCGATAAAGTAACAACTATAATTACAAATGACTTATTAATTATACGTAAAAAATATATTAGAGATCTTTAGGAAGCCGAGATTTTGTCCTCCGACTTACACAATCCCCATTTTTGTCCCAATTAAAACTTATGTATGTACTTACGTATCATTAAGTGATTACATCCTATTCACTAGAATAAATAAAATAAATTTGGCGAAGGACTTTGCGGAGTTATCCGTCAGTCTATTTTCTTCTTGAAGGTATTCTGACTGATTACCACTCGCCAGCACAATTTTTTTAGCCCGTAAATTATCAGAATTAAACTCAGTATATAAAATATCGCGACGTCCATGCCGTAATAATGGAACACGCTCATATACCTGAAATATTATATTTAACTTGCTTAATTTCACTTTATCGTTTTATTGGCAGTACATCTAATAATGTAATTTAAAAGTTTGCGACGAACTTTGTTCTTTCGCTAAATGTTTGCGAAAAAACGAGACGAAATTTCTGTAGAATTTTATGCAGTTAAAAAGAACGTCCAATAGTTCAAAGATATACACTCTATAATTTTAATTATCTAATAAAGTGCTTTAAATTTTAAATGAAAAACTGTCAAAAATCTTTCAAAATTCACGTTATAAATTATTGTTATAAATATCATTATACTCAAACGAGTATTCGTATGCATATTTATCATAAAGGATCAATATATTTGATAATAATTATTCGAAAAAAAAATTATATTACCTGATTGAACTCTTCAAATGATCGGCTCCGCGGTGCTTGGCAACGTGTTCTACCCACCACGTGGCCAATTCTCTGGGCCCGATCGGAAGGTCACGCAGTAATGCACTCCTCTTCTTAGCCGCCTCTCTGTATGAGTTATTGTGAAGCGCCGCAACTTTAATTATACCTTCGCGAAGCGCACTGATGGATATACTAGTCATATCCATTACCAAAGCATAACCCAATTTATCTGTCAGGAAAAGCACACAAAACATGTCAGCAATCTTGTATTAAATCACCAATCAATTGCAGTCGTAATATAATTTTCTTTACTTTGCGTGCAAAATCCATCCAAAAATTACAACTTCCACTTCCGAAAAGCACTCACATCATTTTCTCCGTTGCACATTCATTATTTCAATCGCCGACCATTCGATTCTATACTCGATTTTTCTATCGAATTTCTTTTCGAGGGGGACAAAGCTTCTCAAAAACTTCAACGATTATCCTCGATTATTGGGCTCAAGCGGGTCAGAGGCCGCCGGTAAAGGTACCTTTTCATGCTGACGCTCGACGCTCATTTTTGGCGTCAAAATTACGTGATCATAGTTGGCTTGCACAAAAAACGGCAATATCAAGTTTAACGTTAATCGTATCATTCGTATATCTAAAATGTTTAAAATAAAACAACAGCCTTTGACGCTGAAGCTGAGAAAATCCAGCTTCTTTTTTTTCACGCTAGCGTCAAAGTCAAAGTCACGTGATTACCAAAAATTCAACATGTTGATTTCTTTACTGCTTACGTCTTACTGAGTTTGGTTAAGCTTTTCTGTATGCCGTGGCTTCAACGCTAAAACGAGCGTCTCGATGAATTTGCACCTTAATACGTGGCTTAAACACGGGAGAAAGGATTTACCAGCTTGCGCCGCGTTTCCATCGTGATCGCAGAAGACCGGCAGGACCAGAGTCGGCGCGCCGTGGTAAGCAGCCTCGTGCAGGGACAACAGCCCGCCGTGGGAAACGAAGGCGCGCAGCTTGGGATGGCCGAGCAGCTCCTGCTGCGGCCACCAGGCAGCCGTCCTCACGTTCGCCGGCAGATCCTTGATCTTGCCACCGTCCCACTTCCACACGACGTTGTACGGTAGCGTGGAGAATACCGCGACAAAGATCTGCCGTAGCGCCTCCGGCATCCCGGAGGCCCGCACCGACGATCCCATCGAGACAAACACGAAACCTGCAAAAATTCCTTCGGCCTTGCGGTACGTCCGGTCCGAGAGATTCTTATACTGCGCGTTCGCTCCAATTGAATAGCGAGTACATCGAAGAATGAAAAACAACGCGACGCCAAATTATACAATATAGGTACATTTGATATATACGATTTATATATTCTTATACGAAATGATAAAAAGAACATCGCTATGCTGTAAAATAGAATTTTACACCCATTTGATATTTTCCCGTTAAAAAGAATCCTTTGATTCTTCTGCGAATCAAACATGTATGAAACGAGACTTTGACGAGTTGAAAAAAATTTATCTCATTGTCAGTAATATAAAGAAAAGGGATATGTACAATTACCACGATAAAAGTTTCAAATATATCATCGTTCGAGCGCATTACGGCTTTTACTACAAGATACTAAAGGTTTTTTCAAAAAGTTTTCGAGGTTTCAGGACAATTAGCGCGACTATATTAAGGATAATGTAAATCTCGCGAAGCCAGAAATGCGAAGTCGAAATTATGGAAATTACCGTGTCGCAGAAAGGACTCCAAGTCGGAACTTAATTGCATCGCCGGTCTGCAGTGGAGGCACGCCACGTTTACGACGTTCGACAAGTAGGGCACGGAATCGCCCACGCTATAATGGCTGTTCTGCAAAGTCAGGGGGACCTCCGCTGTCAGACTGTGCAGATCGTCGGGTATATGATTGCCTGTCAAAAGCAAAATACGACATGGTCATTGGGCTATATATAAGTATCTAGTTATAAACATATACGCGATTGTATATTAGCATACAATTGACAGCATCGATGCATTTCGGCGAAACAGCGGCAGAGGCGCGGTCGCCTGAAAATTGATTTAGTGCCTCACCGAGGTATCGCTGGAGCGTCGGCTGAAGATAAATCGAGAGCGTGAACCAATGCATAATCCTTAGCGTGAGCAGAGCCGCCGCGTTCAGGACTCTCTGCAGGAAGGTCATGTCCTGCGTGATCGCCTTACCGAAATACGGCGTCACCGACCACGGTGATGGATTGCCCTGTCGCATTATGGACCCGCTGTACAATGCCACCTGCGAGATAACATCACAACCGTCGTTCTCATTACTCGCATTAGCAACGTTGCACGGAGCGAAAGCAAATGGCTTTAATGAGGCGCGCGCGGGGATATCGGCTTTTAGAAAAAGGAATTAGAGATCGACCGAGAGATCCGCTCTCCTCTCCTCAGCGTCAGGTGAGGGACCTCGCGCTGCACCGCCGTTATACAAGCGCGTTTTATCATTACGCGTCATTGACGTCACTGAACGAATAAAGGGAGAAAAGAAAGAAAGTGGATGCGAACTGGCAAACGTCTTGCTTATCGCGTTTCTAAGACTGCTTTTTAGCACACCGAGAGACGCTAGCTGTAAAGCTGTTTGAAGATGAGATTACTTCGCACTTTGTCATATTAGTTACACACGAGTGAACAACATGATGAGAACACCCGTTTACTTTTCATTTATACGCGGAAACGTCGGGGATACGACAAACAAGTGTGTTTTTTTCGCATTACACGCTCGTGGAATAACCACAGTGGATTCAAGTCTGTTCTTTTGTTATTATACGTGTATTTTTTGTAAAGAAGAAAAAACCGAGAAAGAAGCTTTATATTATTCTCTCGAGAATTGGTTTGTTAACATTAAGAATCCGCTTACGGGTAAGTAGTGTGGAACTTTATATTCTTGAGATTTATACTCAACTTCTTTCAAGAAATATACGACCATTTATAAATATTTAACTGATTGAAAAAAGTCAGTTCGCTATTTATATTAAAAAATGCGTTGTAAAATTAGTTATGCAAAAGTCAATTTTTATTAAAGCTCATTTCTCTTCTGTCATTTATATGTCATTTATATTTAAAAAATGCATTGTAAAATTAATTATGCAAAAGTCAATTTTTCTGTATTTATATTAAAAAATGCGCTGTATCATGAAAAAACCACAACGGCGAAATCCACAACCAAAAATAAAAAGAAATAAAACAAAATATCGTTCCGTGTACTATATTAAAAAATGTGTTGTAAAATTAGTTATGCAAAAGTCAATTTTTATTAAAGCTCATTTCTCATCTATCATTTATATGTCATCTATATTAAAAAAATGTATTGTAAAATTAATTATGCAAAAGTCAATTTTTCTGTATTTATATTAAAAAATGCGTTGTATCATGAAAAACACGGCGAAATCCACAACCAAAAATAAAAAGAAATAAAACAAAATATCGTTCCGTGCGCTGCAAATGTTATATTTTTATATTTTACACAATATGTATCTACACTCTAGACTGACAATGAGAAGCACTATAAAAAGAAACATTTCAATAAATATACGACAGAGCAGCGTGTAATTCTCTATCGATGTGATTCTTATACCGGGTCGCGATCTAACATAATATCGTTTATCGGTCCGAGTAAAAGTCCACTCGTAACTGTTATCGCAGCGGAGAGAACCAGGACAAGTTGTAACGGGAATCGGAATATCGCGAAGGGTCCCGTCGCGTTTCTCGGCTACGACGAGAGGCGACATTACCGTGTTCAACATTATCGTGGGCACGTTCTCGCCGTGGAGGATTCCCAGCATGCACTCGGGATAAGCGCCGTCGAGCACCGCGACGTCCCATCGAGCGTGCGGATCGCCGTCCGGATTTCTCATGCCGGCCATCGACGGCGCGTCCTGCAGCAACGCCTCGCAGGACTCCCAGGCGTATCTCATGGCGTCCCATGGCGATATCGGAAGCTCGTTCCGGAACCTGGCGCCCACCAGGTCCCACTCAGCCGTGAAATTCTCGACGTAGGCCTGCCGTGAGACACGAGCGGTGAACACGTGCGCGCGGCACAATATGCAATAAATTCTCCATTAGGAGCTCGCGCGGCCGTTGGATCAGCGTTAGCCCGGAAACTTTCAACTCTTCCGTGTCACGATACATATTGTATCGCGAAACCTGTTTCGCCCTCGGAGCTCAACCTCCTCGTCTCTTTATAAAGATTTATTTAACGAGAAATGGTAAATGGCATATCGTACGATTTTGCAAGTTTCTTTTTACGGAAACATAAACTACTTTGAAGGATTAAATCCCGAGCAGAAATGAAATAGGCAGACAGAAACAGAGGTAAAAGTAGAGGTTTAAAAAGAAAAGGTAAGAATTAAAAAAAAATGCAGACGGTATAAGCGGGCGGCTCTGGTCTGGTAAATTACTCGGCATGTAATAAAATTAAATATGGGTCAAGAGCCAAATTGGAAGAAAGGAATGGCGCGCGCGCGCGAGATGGGGGGAAAAATTCCGCGAGGGGAGGGGGGCAGTTCCGTCTGAGAGCACGGGGAGACGTGCGTGGTAGATCGTAAATCACCTCGAGGATCGACGGCACCAGCTCGTGAAGACCATTATTCGCCGCGGGACCGGGGAAAGCGCTCAGCAGCGTGACGTTGTGCCCCTGCGACCTCAGGCTCGTACCAAGGGCGACGAAGGGCACCGTGTGGGACTTGGTGCCACCCATAGTGGCCATCAGGATGTTGTAGCCCAGCAGGGGCTTGATCAGCAGGCTGAACCCCAGAAGGAGCTGGTGGAGGCCGAGCCGATGCGCGACGCGCGTCATCCTCAGGATATCAGCTTACCGACCCGTTTAACGATGGCAAACGATTTTCGCGTGGCGATTCTCCTCCTCTCGCGGCACTCTTATGGCGGAGTATTGTCGATTCCTCTCAATGGAAGAGGACAATCGTCTCGCGACCCGGCATCGTTTTTTTTTTCTCTCTTCTCTTTCCTTTTCTCTCCTTCTTTTCCTCTTCTTTTCCACCACGAACGATCCCCCCCGTCACGTTCGAACGCGCGCCGCTTTCGTCACGAACTTCTTTCGTGCATCGGCGAAGCGAGAAACGGCCTGAAGGATCCGCGGCGAATTCGTATTCTCCTCGGAGACCGTTTCCGGTCGGGTAAACGGGATGATGCCGCGGCGGGAGTACGGATTCCCTTACGCTCCAGTTCGCGGCGGCGAGAACCGATGCCGTTGATCAGCCCGCGATCGTTTTGCGAGCGTGTCGCGTCTGGTCCCTGCTTGATCGCGTTCTTACGACTGCGGTCCCTCGCATCCTCCGTCTCGTGGCCTTTCCGCGTTCCGGCAATTCTATTTTTAGATCGGAATTACCGAAGTTCGGAAGTTAAAATGCGCGTGCTCTTTCAAGACGAGTGTAGAATATCAAGTCTCATCCGAATAAAAAGGTTCGGTGTTATTCTAATACGCGCCGCTGAAAAGAAAACCGCTCTCGGGAATTTTTTTCGCGTCTGCTCGTCTCTCTTTCAATTCTCATTCGCTTTCATCGAGCAAAGAAGATGTATGACTTCGAAGAATGGATCTTCTGCTTTTCGTGCGCAATTCGTTGATTTTTATTATCCAATTTACCGCTGGAATTCTTCGCAATAGCCTTCCGTAGAATTCATCATGGACGGATTCTTTTGATCCTCGAGTGAAAAATTGACCGTAGATAATCTTTTCTGATCTATTTTTTTCTTTCGGTCGAGAAAATAGAAGTTGTCAATCATGTGACAAAGCGGCTTCGGTCAATTTCCCTCTCTTTTTCGATAATAAAGCTGCGTAAATGAACTTATTTGATATACGCGTATTTGCGTAACAAAGGCCAGCCCCCTTCAATATCTTTCTAGTACTGAAAAGCTTTTAACGAAAGCGTTTTTAATGAAGGAGTTAAAGTTTATAACAGAGAAGCTTCATGAAGAGCTTAAACAATCTTTAAACTTCTACCTACGTCTTTTTAATATCTTTTTTAATACCCGGCAATAGCGGTCGTTGACTATCGTAAAGTATACACGGGAATATTGTTATAACTTTATCAACGTAACGCTACCACCCTCGATTAAACCTTCTGTTTTTCACGGGTTAGCAAACAATGTGTCCCGTTGTAGCTCTCAGAGAATATAAAGGGATTGAAGCTTCATGCCCGACTGTTTTGCTTCGATTGTTTCACGTTTGATATATTTCCTTTCTTTCCCTTTCTAAATTTCTTCTGAGAGTTCAACTCACTTAAAATACCTTCACTCTGCGAAAAGCATTGTGAAGTATTACTCTGCGAAATTTCCATTTGTTTTCCCAGCAGTACTTTATATATATATATATATATATATATATATCTCTTTCTCTCTTGCAAAGCGCCGTCGTAAGAGCACAGGTTCTACAAAGTATACGCGATCCGACGGTTCCCCCTTGAATCTTTTTGCTCCTAATAACTCTCCAGAAGCTTCTTACTTCGCGGTCTCCCTTGCCGTCTTCTTCGGATCCGTTCCTTTCTCTCGAGAAACTCGCTCAAAGTGGTTTGGGGGGAGCTCTTCCGTCGATCCGATATTCGCTCGAGAAGAGAGCCGACAAAGAGAACAATGACACACAACTTTTCGCTCTGAGGACGCTCGACTTCTTAAACGTCGCTTTACCGATTTCTCACGGCGTCGTGTGTCGAAATTCGAATGTCGGCAAGAGACCAGCCCGTCATTTTTGCGTTCAATTATCTTTCCCTTTCTCCGGCCGGGTGAAGAGATCTCTTGATCCTTCCTTTCCTTCCTGACCTTCTTTACCCCTTCACGCGATTCTTGGCGGGAATATCGTGGCGCCGTTAGTCTCTCGAACCTCAAACTGTTATACAGGCGCGGGCGACTTTCACTAATAACGCACGGCTCGTATGCACGATCGCCCGTCGCGATAATCCGATTCGGGGAATCGGAAGATCAATGCCGCTTCCCGCGTCAACTATCATTTGTCTTTATTCAAACTCTTTCGAGATTGAGCTATTGCTCACGCGGCGGGAAGGGTCTCGATATGTAATATTTTATGAATCGGACAAATTGTTAACGATATCCATCCAGATCCAAAATGCAATTAATTTGTTATCTCGTCATTAATCGATCTATCCAATAAGCAGAGAGCCTGTACATCGCGTGTAGTTGTAGTTTAATTTCTCTTATCGCAAACTTAAGCACATTTCTTGCAATGACTTCTCATTGAATCCATTCACGTTTTGCAAAAAAAAGACTTGCCGCTCGAGCGCCACGCAATTTCTCTGTCAGACTGTTCGAGTTAATCTCTTTAACTAATCAAATTATCGGTTTTAATAATTACATGTTTGCCGCAGCCATTGACGATGCGAAAACTTTCATAGCGAAGTTACTCCGCGTGGAGAGTAAAACTTCGCCGATCGGCGGAACAAGTTCAGTTAACAAGAATCTCACTACCGCGAAAACCGATGTATACCTGACCGACTTTTTAATCGGCCTCCTTCACTCTTTCCGTTCGTCGTCCCGAAGTCGGCGGATTTTCGGTTCACGACGGTTCAAGCCAGCCAGCGGGACGGATTCCTCCGTCCCGTCGCGTACGCTCGCCCACGACACGCGCCGCGACTCCTTGCGTCTCGCTCCGGAATCGGAGCGGAATCGGAATCGATGTGTCGGCGGTTAACTCGGAAGCGCGGACCTTGAAAGCGACGACGGACTATACTCGCTCACTCGCGAAGCTCACGTATCGCCGAGCGTGAAAGTTTGACTGTGCCAGCAGCAGCTTTAATGATCAGCTGAGCTCTAGAGAGAGAGTTTTGCCTCCCACCAAGACGTTCCTCGTCGTCGGTCGCCCGTCCGAGGATGTTTGGGCGCACCTACCGCGTGGAGAAGTGGACATCCGATAAACATCTCGTTGACTGCGACATTTTATAACTGTGCGGTTGACGACGGAACGCCGCGCGTGGTCGTTGTGGTCGAAACGAAATTACTTTGTTAAGTAATGTCCTGTTGCGTTTTCAGGAGGATGATGGCGAATCATTGATAACGCATGCAGCTCTTCATTGCTGTAAAAAATTATTTACCCGCAAACTCGACGGTCGCTCTGTTCGACGATCAATTTATTTCTGTTTCAGAAGATTTGTGAAATCCACAATATTCCTTTACGTGTATGGTCTGATCTAGAAAAAATCATCTTTTTTTCGATTTATTTTGGGATCACAACTGACTCACCAGAGCGATTATCAGCGATACCATCGTGATGCGCCTCTCTCTTTCTCCATTCACCCGATTCGCATCGATTATACACGGTTTAATTAGCCGACTTAGTCATTCATTCATCTTGAATACCTCCATATAACGAGTTTGATTATTTTTCTCTAAGTTTTTACTTACAAATCGAGGAAAATCGATTTATTTAATGACAGGATGCGATTAAAGTCGATCTCGCTTATATGTAGTTTAGAAGCATTTGTGCTATATAATTATAACGTAATGTTATTGTCGACGCCGTAATGTGAAATTTGTATAGTTTATAGATAATCTTACGACTATAATTTTACTGATTTGACGTAATTTCTATACATGGACTCATAAGCTACAACTTTTCCGACTTCAGCACGTAACGTTACTTTATTACTTCCGTTGCTGTCCAATATATTGTGGAATTATGATAATTTACCGTTATGCAACTCGCGATGCGCTCGCGATTCCGTCTCATTTCGAAATCTTATAGACCTCCACCTGCTATTCTTTCGGTCAACGATCGCCTTTGACCGGGAAACTGTAACACTGGGAGTGCGCGATATTGCGGTAAGAATCTTGCAAACAGAAGCGAATCGGCGAAATTTAAAGAATTAGGACAGATTTCACTAGTTTGGTTACAACGTACCGTTATGTCCTGTACCTACAAGTAGTATACTCTATTCTATTCGAACAATGATTTGTGTGCGATGTTTATTTAATTGAAATATCTAGAACATTCAAGATTAATCGATCTTTATTGTCAATTAATATTTTAAACGCGCCATTGATAAACTTGAATTTGCCTAATTTTGCGGTTTTATATTATTAATAATTATTGATTATTATTTATTTATTTTTAAATAATTGTTTATTTAAATTAAGTTAGACTGCTGTTCTATCAGTGCGCAAAGTGCATTAGTGCATCCCGCGGATTCGCCTATTAAGCTGCATATAAATCAACGAGTATTCCCGTCATATCCCATCATCGATCAAATTTATCTCCTATCTCTCCGCACGCGTAACATAATTATTGGATCGCGCGCGCGAGCGCGGCGTGGTGCACCATCGCGTGAATCCGCGCGATTATAGAGCCACGTAATTGGAATCGCTTCGCGAATTAAGCCCGCCGGAGGATTCTCTCGCGCAGCCTCTCGTAGCAAGTCGGCACTCACGTCTCTCACGGCTCTCCCATTTTACGATTATTTACTTGCGAAGTGACCGCGATCCCTTCAAAGCTAATTTTCACGCGGAGGGCCATACGGGCGCGTTTCACGGATCGTTAAATCGCCAAATTGCCGCAAACCCGATTTTATGAGGTCGGGGCCGGGTCTCGCACGCACACACAGAGTGGATTGCACAAAACGTCCCTGCGCTCGTCGAGGGAAAGGAAACGCTGTTTTTCTTTTTTTTTTTTTCCCTCCCCAGCTTTTATCCGACGAACGCGCCGAGATATTCGCTCTGATCTGGACGGCCGTTACGATCCAGGAAATCGACGTGACACGGTCTACTCTTTCTACGCTATCCTTTCTAGACAACGTTCGTTGCGAGAACGGTCTTTCACGCTGTGAAGTGAAGCGGGATTTAAATATGGAAAAAGCAAGCTCGGAACCAGCAGGTATACACGCAGACATTATCGGGACAAGATCGTGAAGGAAAGAGTAGATATAAGGTATGGCTAACGATTTATTTTGCGAAATTCAGTGTGTTTAATTTGTACAC